CATCAACTGGTCCAACAAGGAAATCATGGGTTGGTCAGAAACTTGTTCTTCCCAGTGTTTGTCTGCCGCTAATCATGTCAAAACTCAGGTTACCACTGTCCCATATACTCCTGCTTTACAGAACATTCCATCTTATCATGATTTAAANGTATTGTTTTGTTGAATGTTTTGTTTTTAAAAATGAAATGAATAAATACTATAAACTAAACAAAATGATCTGTGACAGGGTCACAGATCGTTTTCTTGAAAAGGAATGGAGGGTAGAATTTATAACCCACACATTTTATTATGTAGGCTGAAACTGAGCTTCCTCTTGTTGAAAGACCAGCATCCACCACTGACATGCACATTCACTAAAACACAGTTGGGAAGCAGAGGTTGATGCACATGCTAGGCTGACAAACAGCTTTTCTGTTTGACAGGACAGTGATGAGGTCAGGATGGATGCATGGATAGGTAGATAAATGAATAGATAGGGGATGCAGTGAAGGTAATGGGGAGAAGTGAATTGTGTGTCAGTGGTGATGGAGTTTAATACTGTCTACCCTGCTGTGCTGGAGCTGGACTGTTTATGGGGACTCTCCAGGTATGGACTTTTTCATCTATCGTAACTCTAGTTTTTTTAAGTGCAGAGTGCTTGTCAGGTCTTAGAATTTCAAACACAAAACAACATAAATAGTGCTCAATTACCAACTTATTGTACAAATCTTCTAGTCACAGAGTTCTGACTGACTCAAGATTCTTCATTTTCAAAACAGCCTGAAAGCATTTCCCAACTCTACGSAACAAATTACTTTCATATTAAAGAGGTTCAGGATACAAAAGTGGCAGAAATAATTAATAAGCTTTCAAATTCCAAATCAAATAAGGTTGCCAATTCAGACGGTCCAAGGTTGCCAAATTGGACAGACAGTTTCCAGCCCAAACACAATATAAAACCTGCCCAACTAAAAAAACTCTCAATGTAAGTCGGGCAATCGCTGTGATGGCACATGAGCCATTCAACAGCCGAGTTCACATTGAAACTTGTCCAATCAAAAAGCTTCTTCTTGGGTTTGGCAAATAACATAATGGTTCATTATTGCCACTAACTCAGGGGTCTGCAACCTTTATGATCAAAAGAGCCATTTCTGCTACTGGACTCACTAATAAAATGTGTACAGAGCCAGCTACAACTGTGATTATCAACTGTTGGTCCTTGGGCCTTTTCAAGGCCTTTTCGGGAACCTTTATGGCCAGTGGAGGAGACATAAAACTAAAAAAAATATTGTGAATTTTATTATTTATTATTGTTTTTTCACATCAGGACAAATGAAAAGACCATATTCATGTAAATAAGAAAAAAATACTGTATATAGTTTATACCAAATTTCATAAAAACTAGTAAACCTGAACTATTGAGGATTTTTTTTATAATTCTTATTATGTAGTCTTCAAATTCTTTAAAGGTAATTCTGATGGATTTGAGAGAAAGATCACAGAAAGAAGATGGATTATTTAAGTAAACATCAGGTTAGCATGAGCAAACATGTTTTACTTTTTGTATTAGTAGTACTGATCAGATGTTTGCATTCAAATTGATTTCTGTTGTGAGTATTAAAAAA